TGGGAAACTTGGAGGTCTCAGCTCGCACCTTGCTAGCATGCCAGCACCTGCAAATTGTGAGGGAGGCCCGGCTGCCTGCTCTATGAGACGTGCGTTCCAAGTGGTTGCAGTGGTTGGTGCCGCGGTTGTTTGGAGGGCGCGTTGGGCTTTTCCCACCCAGCGGTCAGACGCGTGGTTGACTTGGCTTCCTATGCGTCCCATTGCATTGACGGACGTAGGAAGCAACATCTTTGCTAAGGCCATTAATCGGCGCCTTCGGCCCTCGCAACTTGAGGCAGCCGCTTCCTGGCCATGGGCCGCAGCGTCCTGCAGGAGCTGTTGACCCGCTGGAGATACATGTCATTGTGGCCACGCATGATGCTGTTGCGTGTCACCCAGGTCCCAGCGCGCCGGACATCAGGGCGCAGAGTAGGCGGGGTGTGAGACAAGGATGTGCTCTGGCGCCAAGCCACGCGGGCCCTAGCGTCCACCAGCACAAAGCCATGGGCCCAGGAGATGTCCACGATGTTTGTTGCGGCCCCTTTCTAAGAGCTGCAGCGCGGTGACGCGGCCTCAGTCCCAGATTCAGCCTGCTTCCCTGCCGCATCATCTGAATGTCTCCACAGTGGATCAGGCCATCCCGCTTCAAGCTGGCCGCTGCAGTCACCCGCCCATGCGTTCGCTTGCCCCAGGGCGGTGGGAGTCCAGGTACTTTTGAACGGAGCCACCAGTGACAAAGGCAGCGGGGTCATCATACTCCCAATTCCTGAAGGTGCTACGATAGTTCAGGGTGGTCCATGCCTGGCATGCGCACGCCGTGCCGCCTGCCCTCTTGCACCCCTTGCCAAGATTTTTGATGTTTGGTCTGGGGCGGTTCGCTGATGTTGGTCGGGGCAAGCGGGTGGATAGGGTTGCCCTTGCTTTCCGGCCCCGTCTCAAAGCCCGTGCGCATGGCGGTGCACAAATGACGGGGCGGCAGCTGTGGCGACCCCGCCTGAGCAAGCGGCGTTCCTTGAGCGCACACGCTACATTGTGTGTTCTGGGCGAATGATGTCGTAGAATTTACATGGCTGTCAACACGCTGCCACTGCTGAGGGGTGTTCGCGCCGGGTGGATTAGCTGTGTGCCGCCTGCTAGGCGCTATGGGGCGGGGCGCGCAGTTCTCAAACTGAGATGTGACTTTTTCTTGAGCCGACCGTGCTCAAGGTTATTGTGACAGCCACTTGGCCGAACGCCTAGGATAGACGTTCCGCGATCTCCAAGTCAAAGCCACTCACTCACTCCTTCACTCACTCCTTCACTCACTCAACTCACTCACTCACTCACTCACTCACTCACCCACTCACTCACTCACTCACTCACTCACTCACTCACTCACTCACTCACTCACTCACACTCACTCCCACTCTCACTCTCACTCTCACTCACACTCACACTCACACTCGCACTCGCACTCGCACTCACACTCACACTCACACTCACTGTCACACTCACACTCACACACACGCGCACTCGTATTTATACACTTATTTACTTACTTTTCACTTTTCACTCACTCACTCACTCACTCACTCACTCACTCACTCACTCACTCACTCACTCACTCACTCACTCACTCACTCACTCACTCACTCACTCACTCACTCACTCACTCACTCACTCACTCACTCACTCACTCACTCACTCACTCACTCACTCACTCACTCACTCACTCACTCACTCACTCACTCACTCACTCACTCACTCACTCACTCACTCACTCACTCACTCACTCACTCACTCACTCACTCACTCACTCACTCACTCACTCACTCACTCACTCACTCACTCACTCACTCACTCACTCACTCACTCACTCACTCACTCACTCACTCACTCACTCACTCACTCACTCCCTGACTCACTCGCTCACCCACTCACCCTGGCGCAGCATTTCCTGCATGTGTGTGTGTGTTGGCGTGGCAGGCGCAGCATTTGGCACGTGTCTACAGGGACTGGATGTTGTCGAGCGCGCGGCTCATTTTGCGTAGGGACTCAATGTTGTCAAGCATGCGGCTGGGGGAATCGTTTTGCGTGACAGGCGCAGTACTTTGGAGCAATGTTCTGCATCTGGGTGCGTGTTTGCGTGGCAGGGGCAGCATTTGGCATGTGTCCAAAGGGACTTGACGTTGTCGAGCATGTGGCTGGGGCCCCCGTTTTGCGAGACAGCCGCAGCACTTTGGCGATCGCTTGCAGATTTCAGGCAGGCGCAGCGTTTTCTGCATCTGGGTGTGTGTTTGCGTCGCAGGGGCAGCGTTTGGCATGTGTCTAAGGGGGCTGGAAGTTGTTCGCGGCTGGGGGCCTTGTTTTGCGCGCTCACTCGCTCACTCACTCAGTCACACGCTTGCTCACTCACTCACTCACTCACTCGCTCGCTCACTCACTCACTCACTCACTCCCTCACTCACTCACTCACTCACCCACTCACTCACTCACTCACTCACTCTTCCCTCCCTCCCTCCCCCCCTCCCTCTCTCACTCTCACTCTCACTCTCACTCTCACTCTCTCACTCTCTCACTCTCTCACTCTCTCACTCTCTCACTCTCTCACTCTCTCACTCTCTCACTCTCTCACTCTCTCACTCTCTCACTCACTCACTTTCACTGACTCACTGACTCACTGACTCACTGACTCACTCACTCACTCGCTCACTCGCTCACTCGCTCACTCACTGACTCACTGACTCACTCACTCGCTCACTCACTCACTCACTCACTCACTCACTCACTCACTCACTCACTCACTCACTCACTCACTCACTCACTCACTCACTCACTCACTCACTCACTCACTCACTCACTCTCACACACTCACTCTCACTCACTCACTCTCACTCACTATGCGCTTGTGTTGTCGTCTGCTGCGTTTTGGAGATTGCGCGCTCTGCTTGCTGCAGACGTTTGATGCTGAGATTTGGCTTAATTCGGACATTGGTTGTCCACATTGGAACAACTCAGACGGATGCTGGAAAGGAAGGATTGACTGCGCTTTCGGCTGCCGAGAAAGAACTGCAAGCAGCAGTCCGCTTGACGCAGGGGGCCTGTTAGCTCAGCGGCGCGCCGACCTGGCGCTGAAACGATCCTGTCTGCTGGCTTGTCATTGTTGCGCTGTGAGCGGTTTGACTGAGAAATTGAACATTGTTGTTCCTGGCCGCAAAATGGTCTTCGATGGTAGCAATGGCCTTTTTGTCTCCAACTGGAATCTTTTGGCGACTTTATATGTGTGTGTGCAATTGAACAAGTTTTGCTTGTGTCAAGCGCAAGCAGCCCTCTCCTCTTGAACAGCTGAACTCCGTGGAGATCCTTAGCTGCGTCGGACTTTAGCCTTCCTTTCTCTTTGAGGTTCCATGGTCGTTGGCCTTCGATTGCCCAATAGGATTGATCGGTGTTGGAACCATCGGCCATGTTGGCATTGCCGCTTGGTTCTCGTTTTCTGAATGGAGCTTCTTCGGCGCTCGCCCTCGCCTTTTCTACCTTTTCTCCGCTTGCCAGACTTGAGAGTCCGACGCTGGAATCCTTCTAAGTGAAGTCTTCCAGCTGCCATAACTTGAATAAACAGGAGAAGCCTTCAGCGCCTTCCTCATCTTCTTCCCAGAATCCCCCTTCAGCTTCGCTTGTCTCCGTATTGAAGGATTCAGACGGTCTTGGATCAACCCCGCCACCGGATCTTGGACAGAGGTTCTGGCGGTGATGGAAAGGTCGTAGTGCTGCGCCTTGTTGTGTCATATGTGTTCTGAGGGGGACGTGCGCCTCTAAGGGCTAATGAAGTGGGCTAATGAAGTTCGCGTTAGCCTTCTGACAACGCACTCTTTATACTGAAGCACATTGTTTGGATGTTGGCCGACAGTGGAGAAACCTGCGCATGTTGCATGCTTCTTCCTGCGACAAACTGTTCGAAGTTCGATTGAGCTGCTGCGCGCAGAAGGACTGGGCCGAGAATCCGAGGAACTGCGGCTCTTTGCGTCTGTCCTTGACATAGGGCGACCATTTTGCGAACCCTGTGATCACGTTGTTCACGCCGTCTGTCTTCCCAGGCTTTTGTGAGAATCTCGAACTTGCTGATGAAAGTCACGAATTCACTATTACCTCGGCAGCGGTTGAAGAAACTGAGAAATCTGTTTAGGAATGTATTCTAGCTGCGCTTCAGGAAGTAGCCGCGAAGAGTATTGAGGAAATAATCCACTCCAGTGTCTGGATGCATGAGTGTTTCATCGTCCAGCAGCCCGCGGCACATGTGAGCCAGTTCTTTAGGAGAGGTCCCTTCACACCCTAACACGGCCGTCGTACCATGGGGGCAGCTTTGCGTGCGTCGAGCAATTGATTGTCTCCTCGTGGAAAGCTGTCCCGCCGAAAGGACGGCGACCAATAGAAGCGGCGGCGGAATATGTTCCATTGAAGTCCTCTTCACTTGACAACAGGTTCGCGGAAAACCTGCTCCGATTGAAATAGGGTGCAACTAGGCCCCAAATATGAACCTTGTAGGTCCCAAATATCTATTCCGATGAGGTGCCAAGTGTAGATGTGGAGGTTGAAGCCCAACTATGTATAAAAGCAGTGTTTGTACACAAATACAGCAAGGAGGCGAAAGCCTTTTCGCTCCAGCTTGTGATATCACCTGCCTTGGGCAAAAACGGCAATGGATAATCGCACATGAGTGGATCTGTGGAATCAACACAGAAACAGAACAAACAAGAAACACCCCCCCCCCCCCGCGCACCCCGCTTGAAGAGCTGAGCGCAGATCTACAGATGCTGAGGGAAGCTCTGCACAAAGGGATTGATCAAAGGTTGCTGTGAGAAGCTGTCGTGGAAAGGAATGCAAACCAAACAACGCGTCTTCGTATTAATTACATGAATTCCCCAAGAATTTCTAAAACGACAAACGGCGGAAGGCACGTTCAGTAGCCCTAACCTAGCCCAGGAGCTCCCGAACCTTCCACCCGCAAGCTTGAGTGAGTGGCTTCACAGCTTGTTTTCCAGCGC